GCATGCCCACTGTGTGCACAGTATGCTAATAACTTTAAAGCGAGAGGGTCATCACCTGAGCACGCAGGGAAATTGAGTCCCAAGCGACAATAACAACGCAAAGGCACATGGGTAGACGTTTGTTTGTAAATCTATGGCAATCTGACGCATGGTGATGACTCCCCCGCTTTAATGAGCTTTTGATTTTATTGTCATTTCTCTATTACTCAATTTACAGTATTATTATTTAACTATTACCAGTATATTTCATATAAATTTTCTCATTATGTATTATGTACTCTTAAACAATACGTTAATAGGATTTATGAATTCACTGTCCTTATCATTTTTTTTTCTGCTATCAGTGAATATGAAACACCACAAACACATATTTTCGGCTTTGACCTCCTCCCTCCCTGTCTATTGTGGTTATTAGAAGGCTGTACACGCTTTCTACCATACTAAACTGGTCACCAGATTCAACAAGTGCTGCTGCTCCTTTTACTATAAGTCCACCTTTGCAAGTCACTTAAGATTTCAAAACTATACAGCGCCACCAGTGGTTATTCTTGGCTATATGCGTCCAGTACACAACTAATGTACTACACATTTTTTACACATCATAGCAAGAAATAAAATTATTTTATTATTACATTTCAGAAAATTCCTGAAGACATCTTAGCTAATATTTCGGAGCAGATTACCCCACCTAGAATTATACCTCGCAAATTAACAGAATACTCGCAAGAAGAACTTGACAACTTTCCAAAACTTTGGCATCCGTAAGTATTAACTCCTTATCTGCATGAAAAAAAACATTATATACTGTTTTTCTTTCAAATTAAAATACACATCAATTAAAAATTGCATTTATTGTATACTGTAGAATGACTGGGTTTAAATTTCGCTGATTTAGCATTTCAGGCATATTCAGTGGGTTTTAAATTCACTGTTTTATCATTTAGATAATGTGTTCTGTGCTAAATTTTACATATTCACTGGGTTTTAATTCAGCGCATTTTCCAGTCAGCGAAATAAGCGATATTGAAACCCAGTGAATAATTAACCTTTTTACAGTAGTTGATTGGTGCTCCAGTTATTTTGCATATGTGCATGAGCTATTGGTATAGGGCAATTTTAAAAGGTTGTTTTTGTGCCACGACTGCATGAAAAATATGGGTCCCATATCACCTGTTGACGCTGTTTTTTCCCCGTTCATTTTGGCTATCTGGAGGCTTTCAGCAGGTGATGTGATGACAACATAAAAAGCGACACCACTGTGGTTTAACAAGGTAATTCTTGTTGGATACACAGGTACGATGATAAGCGATGACAATTTTGTGTTAGTCAAACATATTCAGGGGTTTTTCTAAAAAAAACTGCAAGAGGGAGCACTGCAATTCAGCGGCGCCGCCAAGTTGGGGTAGACAGGGTTCTCCCCACCAGGGAGGGATTCTAAGTTAAAATGGAACATTCTATGGCTTCCTTGGGGCCAAAATTACTATCAGACAGGTTACAATTGGAAACTGTGGCCACTGTGATCCCTGGTCAATCAGAATTTTATGGTTGCCGGAGGATCTGCTTCCCAGGGTAAGGGGGCGTATGGCCATGGCATGAGGGCGCTGTGCCCCTGTTCCTTTGTTTAAAAAAATCCCTGATATTTATAATCAATTCATCACAGAACACACTGGATGCTTAGAAATAGTTTGATTGCGTAAATAAAATTGAGCGGGATCATCGTTGTATTCAAAAGTGCAAAATTGCATGTCATAAACATTTTACCAATTTGTACCAGTAAACAACAACAGACGAAAGCTGATCAGTTTCTGCTTATTCAAATATTTCATATAATTATAGTCCAAAAATGAATCTCAAGGATTGATTTTAGAGTGCAACATTTAACCTTTTCACCACCAGACTTTCTCGTCTGAATTTTTTTGCACTTTTTTATTATATTCTCCAATATTTATGGAAATGAGGCCTAATTTTGGAGCCAACAGGCAAAACTTGAATGAAACTTCAGTTTTTAATTAAAAAAATGTGGCTATTTTTTTCTCAGTCTTCTGAAGGACTATTTTATGAATTTGTGAAGAAAAGAGGGAAAAACGAGGTTAAAACGAGGGAGTCGTTACCTGCGCATGCGTCAGATGGCCATAGCGTGTCATTGTTTACAAACAAGTGTCTACTCATGAGCCTTTGCGTATTAAGCGTGTGTTGTTATCCTCGCTTGGGACTCAATTCCCGCACGCGCGTAGATGACGACCCTTCCGCTTTAAGAACATGTAATTTTTACTATTGACGTTGTTTGATACTGTATGTATGTAGGATTTATCATGAACTAAGCATGTCTTGCTTGTTGTGCACTAATTGTTTTTGTATGTACAATAACAATCAGCGAACGAATACTACGCTGCTTACTGTAAACCGCCTTAATTTTGTAGGAGGCTGATTTATGCAAATTTAGCGTGAAAATTGCAAAATGTTGTATGGATAAATATTTTTTTCGGGTCCTTCCATGGAATGTCAGTGTCTTTTGTGAAATTATTGTCTTCATAAATTCTATAAAAACCCGATATCCTAAAAATGTCCAGCAGTGAAAATTAAATGGTTTAAAGTAATCAAATTTAGTCTCATTAATATTGTATTTTTAAATAAAAAAAAAAAAGATTTGTCTTATCGTAACGTGATCATCATATTGCTTTACAGTGGTGAAGATCCTGAGCTCAGGTAGAATTTGAACTTGAACTTTCAAGGTATAATGTTCCAGCTCACCACCTTCACATATTACTTTGAAGTATATTATTAAAGGAAGTGGTGTATGTTAATTGTGCCACCACAGTTGAAATAGAGAAATGTCCAGCCAATCAGAGTGCTCCTTTTATCTGGTTCAGAGAATATGATGTGATGTGCTGTTCTGACAATTGGAGCTGGTACAGACATGTGACAGATGGCATGACCTGATTAAACAGACTGACTGTGGCTCACTGTTAGCAGATTTCACGTTTTGTACAATAGATATCGTTTGGTGCTGCCTATTCTAGTGTTAGCAGTGTGTCATTTCGCAACTATCTCAACAGTATTGGTGCATAATAGTGATTCTCCCCTCTCAGCCCAATGTCGACCCGTTATGAATACATTTCCTGTTAATCCTGTGTAACAGTGTTGGAGACATCGCTAGTCAGTCTAGTGCATATTATTTGTACCTGATTAGTCAGGTTTTCATAATGCACTCACATGGTGTCATGTATCATAACCAATTACAAAATGTACTGTAAATGCATTAATTATTCACTGGGTTTTAATTTTCGGTATTTTAGCTGATAAGTAAAATCTGTTAAATTAAATCTACGTGAACATGTAAAATAACAATAAAACTCATTGTTTCCTTGACAAATTCATGAAATTAAAACACAGTGAATATGCTCAAAAAGTGAAAATAAATGTCAGTAAAAATAAATGGTTTTACAGTATGTAATTTAATTCCAAAATCTGTTAAATTAAATCTATGTGAACATAAAAAAATAACAAAACTACGTTTCCTTGACAAATTCATGAAATTAAAACACAGTATTATTTTCAAAATAGTGAAATTAAATAGTTTTACAGTATGTAATTTAATCCCAAAATTAAAATTTCATTTTCCTGTTACCAAGTATTTTATTTAATCTGACCAAGATTTCCACCAGTATTTCAAGTTTGTATGTATAACGTACACACATTGTTTATTTTGAATAGTGCTGTATGAAAATAAACTTGGCATATCAAAAGATGATGCAATGTTGTTGTTTTTTTACTTCTGTGTGCAAAGTACGTTAACCCATAGATCTCATTCTAAGGTATATGGTTCACCTCACCATAAAAAATTTTACCTTGCATAGTGCAAATACTACATTCACAGGAACGTATTTAAACTAATCCCAGACAAAGTATTTGTCACCCATCCATCATAAGCACTTATGGAAGATCATTGTTTATATGCCCTTGGATATGTCCAGGCATGTACATTTCATCACTGGGTGATAGACATACCATAGCTGTTGAGTTCATTTCTAATGTAGGTCAGATTGAATGTATCGCGACCTTTTCTTACATCCTGTTTTAATGTGGTATATCAAAACTGTCAGCTGACATCATAAAACTTCTGAACAGTTCACCATAATTGGTTTATTACAAGCACATAGACTCCCTGTAAACACACACAAGGCCAACAAGTTTGGGTTTCTATATTATATGTGTTTTATTTTCTCAAAAGTGTGACTTGTGTGACAAAAATGACAATGTATCTCAAATTAAATGCGAAGAAAAAAACATTTTGCTGAATTTGTTTTCAAATTAATTAATTTTTAAATTGTGCTTTTATATTTCATCCTGTAATGCGCATGATCCTAACTTGGAACACGAAAACACTGAACTGAACACTGAAAAATTGCAAAGTAAGGTAATCTGCTTTACCCTTCGAAAAGAAACCAATAATAGTTTGGCAACAATCAACATAAATTCAGTTTAAGGTAGCGAGAAGAGAAATTTTCATTTTTTTCTTAATTTTTTCAAAAATTGATAAAGCGGTTCCTTTAGACCTTTGAGCACTATAATCTTTCCCAGAAGAATGCTGGTCCTAGTTTTCGTGTGTGTTTTTAATAAAATTTTGCACCAAATGAACATAATTTCATAATGACTAAAACTCGTGAACAAAATTATGGCAGTTTATGATTTTTGATTAGTGACAAAAGTTATCTTTGGCGCCTATAGCGTTACTAAAATTTAGATAACAGTATGAACGACTTCTGAATAGCATATTTTCACTATGTGATGTCTCCCATGAAAGGAGAATGCATATATATGCTGTCTAAGTATAAACTAAGGGATAGAACAACATCAGATACTTTTTATAGGGAAAAAATGACAAACTATTAACAAACAACAAATATTTAGACGGCTAAACCAAGAATTTTCCATTGATCATCCCCACACTGTTTTAAACGAAATTTATAAAAATACTGATGAAATAATACTGTTTGTATACTATGAGGTCATTACGAGGATACCTCAAAGTATGCACAAAGAGAATACAGCGAAAGTATTGACTGACGACTCGGAGCAGTGGAGGTTGATGCATACTTTAAGGTATCCTCGTAATAACTTTATTATTATACATCTTTTCCTCCCAAGGAGACATCATGGGAGTGCCGAAATCCAAAAGGTTTAGAACAGAATCAGCGAACTTCTTTGTTTGGAGTCTGGTCAAACCCTGGTGGCAGCCTTGTTTGTTTTTATTATTAGAGAACGCTTACGCATGTAATCATTATATATTTGGAATTCTCATTTCCTAATATGGTAGGATGAAAATGCCCGTAAAATACCACACATTTTATGCATTTAACCTTGGTCAATGTGAATAAACTGTTAATTTCTTTGTTAATATTAGATCAAATGATCATAATTATATGGACTTATTTTTGTGTACTACAAAATAATACTGACCTGAAATTTAATAAATATACCGGTAAATTCTTTTCAATTTGGCCCTGACATATCCCCCCCTTAAAAAAACCATAAAAACCCACACAAAAGGCATAGCATAGTTTCCCTCTGACGCTGTTACCACTAATTGGCGAAGTTGTGAACCAATACAAAGATTTAAATTGCTTTCACTTTGACAAAAGGACATCAAAGTAGCACATTAGACTACAATCGATAGGTGGTGATTTAACCTATCAGTATTTACGTAGAAAAGATAACAATCCAAGGCAGTGTCAAAGTACTGGTAATCACTGGTTAGGAATGTGCAGTGATTGCATCATAACGAATGTCATTTACATATTTTGTTGCGGTTGCCGTGCATAATGTAAGGCGATTCACCTTTAACAACATCAGATATCACAGTGGGTGTATGGTTATTTCACCTTTGGGATGTTTAGAATGCTAGAAATTCAGTGAAATTCAATGTTGGCGTACACTGATGGACATGTTCGTCAACTAGATCAGATTTTAGTCGCCACACGAGTTTTGTTATTGTTTTTTTCATCGGTTTTAACATTTTGATACCCTAAAACATTAAAACCTTGCAAACACACCAAAAAAATACTGTAAATTCAAACAAAATAAATATTTAAAAAAAAAAATACATTGTACATCAATTTTAATAATTTTCTATAATTTATTTTGGGCAAGATAATTTCCCCCTGGCTGCAGTTCTTTATAAAAACTTTTTTGAAAATTCATGTCAAAAATATGCAACAACTATTGACATCAGTCTTCGACATTTTAAAGAGCATGCGAGTACAGGAAGAGAAGAGAAACAAGATCTTTATCTGTGTTGATATGTTTTATTTTCATACACATAGTGAAAAAAACAATATAAATATTCCATTTTACAATGTACAAAATAAGGTTACAAAAGCAACATGCATAGAAATGGACGTAAACAAAACAGACTCTCGTACAATCGACTAAGTTTCTTATATCGGTACTATATTTATGCTGAATATCGACGCTTTGAATTATCGCCCCTCCACACCCCTATTATTTGATGAAAGTGGTATGGTCAATCCACAGAAATTGACCAAACCATACTTATCAAGGAGCATACCAAATACATCATTTTATTAAAATTATAATACAGAATGCATCATGATAATTTCATGCTTCTTCACTAAAGAACGTTGGTCGTCTCTCAGCATTTGTTTGAATTTTGTGTAAGCAAACAGAGTATTTTACATCGAACAGAATGCAGAGCGAGGACCAACATCTTAACAAATTTTTTACATATATAAAATTTATCTTTTTATATATAACAAAGTAATAGACAATACAATTTCTAAAATGAAATGTGACCAAATTTATAGAATATGTAGATATTATATTATATATATACAAAAAAGTTGCACTGTACAGAAAACCTAGTTTATCAACCAAAAAAAAAAACTATGGTTACCAAGGCAGGCTCTTCATTCGAAAACACCTAACTAGTTTTGCTGAATACTGAATATGATATGCAAGTTCCTCTTTTTCTTTCTCTAAAACGATGGAATCATAATGAAAAGCCTGTTGTGCGCTTCCTCAGCTTCATCGTCCACTATAAAACTAGCGACCAAAGGTCATAGAAATTTTTTTAACAAATGAGAGTAATAAAAGTTCGGCGAGAGGTGCTCTGCTGTTTGAGAAATGTAAATAGCTTGATCTTACAGTGATTGATAACTTCATTTTGTGTAATTACTTAAATATGCATTCCCCCCCCCCCCCAAGTTTACAAGTCAATGCATGCTGGGTAAAATCATTATGAAATTATTCTAAAATCAGTAAAAACTTAAGAAAATATAAGTTACTACGTACGGTATGCATTGAAGCAAAACAATGTTATTTACACAGAAATGTTGAAACTATAGAAGTGGCTATGCTTACAATTTAAGTTTCAGCGTGCACATTACATAGTTGATGCATTATTGAGCATGCTCACAACAGAAAGGGGAGAGGGATCATCAATTTTATAACATCAAGTTTTACACAAGCCTTGAAATTTCTTACAAACGTATGCATAAATACAAAAATGTTATAAATATTCACTGTGCGTCAATGGTGGAATGTTTGTCTATATTTTACAAAAATTTTGGTAAGAGTGGATGCCTACAAAACTGAAGCTAGTATAGCAATATATCTGCCTAAAACTGCATATTCCTAGACTAGAAATGATCTATTTGATTGACTCCAACTCATTTTCTAACACATGGTAAGCTAAGCAACTGGGGAACCCGTCTCCCAACAAAATGTTGAAATGTTAATTTTTAGGTCTTATTGTTTTATAAGCAGAATGTCTTGATTTCACTTAATTTGGATGTATAATTATCAAATAAAATCAATGCGTCCATACCAGAGTGTAAAGAGTTTTGTGACTATACAAATAAATAAGGAGTCTAGTTTTTACAAGTAGCCAGCCTATTGATTCAGACTAACAAAGCACTGTGAAGTCGGCACAATAGAGGTCGGGTTCGAGGAAACCATCTCTGTTAGTTTATTCACTTCCAGCTGCCAATTGGGAACCTTCTTGGTAGTCATGTGACGGCGGGCATGCTTCGTCAAGTGATCACTACGCATAAAACGGCGTTCACACATCGGACAAACAAACTTTTTCTCTCCTGTGTGCGTTCGCTTGTGACGTGAAAGTTCATCCGATCTGGCGAAAGTCTTTTCGCATTCATTCCAGGTGCACTTGAAAGGTTTTTCACCTGCAAAATAAGAATTGACATGAATAAATTAAAATATAATTTCTTTACATCACAATAAAATCGCAAATGTTCATGGGTAGATGCTTAATTGTAAACATCAAGAAGGTCAAAATATGAAATCCAGATAACCAACTGTAAACTGTTTTAATTTTGCTGGACAAAAAATTTGTAGCAGTTAAAATTTCTCGGGGGGGGGGGGGGGTCTTAGCAACTTTGAGTGTCGGTGACTTTTGCAATATTCTGTCTTCATTAATGCCATAAAATTACCGTATATTACAAACTCTCTGAATAAGGTCATCAAAGTTCAAATCCTGATTTCAGAGATTATTATCTGATGCACTTGTTGCCTCACCTGTATGGGTTCTCATGTGAGCCTTTAAATGTGAACTCTTGAAATATGTTTTCCCACAGTTAGTATAAGTACATATGTGGCTTCGGCGTCGACTGAATTCCTGGACTGGCATCTGCACAGCTTGCTTCTGTGACTGTACGACGTGTGGCAATCCCCCAACAGGTGCGATTTGGACAGGAGAGTTTGTTTCTTGTTTGGTCTGGTTCATAATCAACATTAAAGTTCCGGGTGGTACTAATGTACCAGCCATAAAGACTGGATTGGTCTGGTTGGCAACTTGTGCGTTTGCATTCACAGCAGGCCCAACCTGTCCTAATGAGACAACATTTACTCCTTTTGGCTGTGTAATGACTTGCATACCCTGCGTGGCAGTAACGGGTATCATACTTACTCTTGACGAATGAGGCACAGCAACGATTGGTTGCGCCATCGATACCTGTGTAATGTTGGCAGGTGATGTCACTTTGGGCATGATTGCTTGAGGTACATTTGTCCGCACACAAGTATTCTGCTTAGTCCTTGTACTTGGCGTTGTATTGTTCGTAAGTTTAGTAGACTGTGTACTGGACACTGTCACACGTGCTGATTTTTGTATTCGACTGATGACAGAAACGTGAGCCGCTTTTGCGGCGAGTCCTGAATGTGTGACATCTGAAATGAATTTTGGCGTACTTGGTAATGAAAGCGAAGAAGACGTCTGAGATGAAACTGTTTTCAGAGACGGCAGTGGTAGTTTCAACACTGGTGAAATCACTGACGGTACCGCCGAAGTCGTTGACACAACATTGCAGACAGCACTACCTTTAGGTGGAATTGACATTGTGCCACTTCCAAAAGTTAGTGAGCCGTTTTTGTGTGATGACGTCATGACAGTTGTGTACCCGCTGATACCAGTATGGCAGACAGTCAATGACGGTACAACTGGTACTGTTCCGGGTAGCATCAATGTGTGTTGCAGTTTCGTTGGTGGGGGAGTCATTGGCGGAGACTCAGGGATCTATGAAGAAAGAAGAAATAAGTCAATTCAATAACTGTATTTCGTCCAGCGAAGCAATTAAAAAACATGACTTTTTTTATATTTTTGGACACTGCTACATTTCAAATTCTTTAGTCATTTTGAAATTAGTGAGTAAACATATTTGACTCCTAAACAACAAGATGATGTGTGTGCCAAACAAAATTTTGTAAGCATCCATCCTATCCATTCTTCAATTACACTTACTGCCGAGAGAAACTTACATTGGCACTTGATGTGAAAACACTTTTGGGCTTGACGATCATCGGCGGGGGTGGAAAAGAGTCCATGCTGTCTTCATCATCTTGTGAATATGGAGAAGGTGGCGCATTAAGCTCCGGCGATCCTCGATACAAACTACTTGGCGACAAAGACCCATCCTGACGCTGTGGAGACCACTTACTCATCGATAACAGTGTTTCCACTGCGTCAATATCAGATTTGTCCATTCTAGTGCATTTCGGACTCATTGTCTCCGAACACTCTGTGATTACTTCTTCCACCTGAATAAATAAATAAATAAAAAAAGAATGAAGATGATTTGAATATATGTTAACACTGAAAATAATTGGAAAAAATATAACCCAATATAAAGACTATTTGTCAAATTGAAAACAAAACATTTAAAGTCAAAGTCATGCCCAAATGAACCAAAGATGAATTGCTAATCAATCAACTTAATGCGATTTGAAAGTGTAGTAATTAATTTATGCAGGAGTGAAAAATCTCATTTTAAAAAAATTATAATAACCAGATAAATTAAATTTTATTGTTTGCTGTTTCTATTTTTATACAGGCAATGATAATAACAGAGAGGGACATGTAGAAACTAGGGGTTCTAGGATCTATAGCCAAGCATAATGGAAACTGTGCATTCAATACTGCAATGACCTTGTTTACAACAGAAACTCATTAATATTTAAATAAGGTATGGGGGCTTGTTAGGTGCATTAGCCAATCAAATAACTAGACTGCAGTCACTCCCTAAGAGCATGATGAATAATGACTCAGACAAGAGTGGTGTGTTTTCCCTTTTAGCCAATGAATTGGCTGTGGCCGAGATCACTCCCAGAGTGCATGATCAGTTAAACTGTATGATGAAATCTACAAGAAGGAAAAATTTCAGATCAGCTGTTTCATAGAAACAAAGACTTTAAATAAATATACACCTGTGACCAGGCAGAAATGATCAACGAATTAGAGGCTTATTTCATATCATGCAGTGATCACATGCCTGCGATAAGGACAAGTTAAAGCAGGATTTTTTTTTCTGGAAAAATAGGGATGTTTGTAAGAGTATATGAAACTGTTAGTATAAGCACTGTGTAAACCTTGCGACAATGAAAGCAAATAATTTTAAAATAAATTAACAAACAAATGTTTATATAACTGTTTTCTAATCAGCTAATTACCTTGCTCGGTTGCAAGTGATTAAAATGTCACACTTTTTTTAATTCACTATATATACGTGGTAACCAGTAATTTTTTAGGTCTTGTTTAGTTGGCATTGCTGATAAATTGGCATTAAAAATGCATTATGTTAAAAAGAAACGACCATGAACTTAGAATCGAGGGTATTCATTGTGTTGGTGCATTTCCAAAAAAAAAAAAGATTTGGTCGTGATCACACAGTATATGGCGCATACGCTGACTCGTTTCACGTTGCGATCAGCTGATTCAGCCCTCGTCAACCAATCAAAGCCCAGCTGGTCAGCCAACCACCCCTCCAAAATGTTACGTGCACTGAAGCAGGCGTGAAGCTAACTGGTATTATGCAGGAAGCTGCCTTGGAACACCTAACTTGGTAGACAAACAACAAGTAACATTTGAAGATTGAGTTTAATATTCGTAGTCATAAACATTCCACACTTCAAAAACACAAATGCCATGTAAATTCTAACGTCAGGTTCGTGCAATTGACGAAAAAAAAGAACAGTTTTCGGATTTCAAATTTAAAAATTTAAACTTAGAAAACAAAATTGTGAAAATGTATTTGTCTCTATATTTTACGCGTACAATGAGGATATTTGAAGCTAATGATAAAGCGCGAACCCGTATCCAAGGGCTACTCTATTTTAGAAACTTTGAACACCTTTTGGAGAAGAAAAAAAACACATACAAAAATCATGTAGAAGCTCAGGAAGCATTGCCATCAAACGTTCTGATGGAGGAAAAAAGAAAGAATTTTATATCGAATATAAATTTTATATCAAATTTTGAAACGCGCGTTATTTTAGAAAGTCGGAGCAGCATCACTTTCTATTTTGACCAAAGTTACACCACTTTCGCTTCAAAGCGGCATTCATAGCAATTAGTAAAAAAAATACAAAGAAAAAACACACAATAAAATCGTTTCCTTCGGTTAAAAGATGGGCGGCAAAAAACAAAACAAAAAACAATATCTCAACTAGATAGGGAAGTCCGTCAATTTCAACACAATGGTTTCCGTAGCTCGGACGCCAGCAGCTGATTTTTCATGGCGTACGCTGGCTTTTCTGTGAAGGTAAATCAATTACCATGGATCAACTAATAAATACTCACGTAAACGGCTTCTGGTGGCGTTTGTGGTGGTGAGAGAGGTAGACACTCCATGCACTTTACCGGAGAACGAATAAAGACAATGAAACAGGGAAGGCTGACAAAATCTCTACTCTGAGCGTTCTTCTGATGCTCATGGTATGAATTGCTTTTAGGTGTGTTTATACATTTTACTCATAACAGTTTTACGCGTGTTTGGTGGGTGTGTGAGAGGATTGACCAATAAGATTTCAGGGGTGGTGCCTTCGACCAATCAGCGCTAAGTGTACATGTGATTCTGTCGTGTTCACGCACGTGGTGAATGGCTGGGCTCGTGTGTGAGCTTCCGTGCGTAGTTCTTTGATTGTAAACAAATTGCATCACTTGCAAACTGGTACGCTAGATCAATCGTATAATTAAAATAAGAACCATGGTAAGAATTGTGATTTTTTATAATGTATTTCCGATGCTGTAGTTGCAGTAATGCCGTTTATTTTGTATTTGTTTTCGAAACCGTCATTCAACCTTCCAACTTCGGGGGTCACGGACAATCGAGAGTGCCAAATATAGACCATGACGTCACTGGCAACTCCCCTCGTCTCACGCAAACAAAACACATATGTTCCTACGAAAGGCATCGAACACTATCTGTCTAGACTCTTGCAATCATGGCCAATGCATTAACGCACACAGACAATATTCTTCATCGCAACCACTCAAACTATTATTTTAAAAGATGATAGGTTATACTAAAATTTGTTTGCGAAATAGCAATGTAGTTCAATACTAGTATGAGTTAGGATTGAACCATTATAAACGGGGGTTATAGCTCATTTAACAACACAGGAAAAGTGGTGGTGCAATTGTCTTAAAACTAGTTCTGCACGACCAAGACAGGGCACAATTATCCAAGATAGAAAACAAAAAAGATCTTGTCGAGAACCCCGAGTAGGAAAAGCTAGTACATTCATAGTTGCACGACCCACCACCCCAGTGTTTATAATGGTGCATCTCCAGTCTCTGATGTGTACTTATTCATCTCCTTGGAGACGTAATGGACCAAGACACATTGGTTATTTATATTAGATTCACATGGAATTTTGTTTTAATTTGTTAATAATTTGGTACGATTGGCTAGAGGGTCTTGTCATTGTTTTTTACATTTAAAAAAAAATATTCCTTAATTTATTTCATTTTTTAAAAATCATTTTCATAATTTAAATTTTTCACAAATTGTATAATGACTGTAAGGCCTTCTTTGGATGGATGACTAATCTACCTGTTGTTATTTGAAATCCTACGAATAAGATCTCCAATGGAGATTGTTCGCATCTTCGGGCGTTAGCAATCAGAAAAAAAAAATAAAAAATATGACTAAAATAAAATAAAATAAACAAGTAAAAAAATAACAAAGCAAGGAGAAAAAATGAATAAGGTCAGATTGAACATCGATATGATGTATTAAGTTTACGAGCGTTGTGCCGTTGGATGGAGACTAATAAGAATTGCGAGTCCACCTTTTATTCGTCACGGGAACCCCTTATTTTGCGCCACGCTCCTCTTTGCTTTTCCCATGTGCGACACCCCAAATTCTTGGCAGCAACATACATTTACTGCAGTTGTACCATTAGACTAACTAACATTTATTTAGCACTCAAAAATTCGTTTGAGTTGTTTCTGTTTTGCTGTTTGGCCGTCATATTTTACTTCTTTGTCCTTTTTCCCGCATTCGCCAGGCAGGTCTTTTTACCATCCAAGTAATTGCCTGGACACACTGGTACTGATGAATATTGAGTAGGTCGACCAAGTCAAATATTTCAAAATCGTGGTTTTCGTTAAGAAAATCACTCACAAAGCTGAGGTCTGGTTATCATTAAATACTTAATTCCAATAAAACAATTCGAAATGCAATAACATTAATTATATCCTTTTCAAAAAGAGTGGTAACGCAGTGTGAAACCTTTAGTAATCTATGTTTGAAGTTACGATGTAATTACGCCAGGAAAATTGAAATAACAGACTGAAAACACATGAAATGTTATGATCACGATCCAGCACCATGGGATATACTTCCGATGACATTTCCTACAGTCGGTCGGCGTAGACTTTGGACTGTATGCTTCTTACGCGCAAAGTTATCGCCGTTCGACTTTTCAATCCAGTTTTTCCTTTATAATTATATACTAGTATTCTGTAAACATGTCTTTTTAGCTAGCATGCTATTTTAGCTAATTTAGCTAATCCTTCATTTCGCTAATTCAAGATGTCGCTTTTTTAAAATTAAGACTTAGTTTATTATCACAGTGAGATTGGTTACTGTTAATATCTAAATTAAGATTCTTTAATTCCATATACTTTGAGTCAAATTCGCCAAAATGGCGTGTAGATATTTCAAGTTAACTGGAGCGTACCTAGGATACAAATGCACAGGCGATTTGACAGTGTAAACCACACTTCAAGTTCACAACACGAGGCTCGTGTGCCGTGCTAAAAAAAAAATGTTAATTGAATCACGAATGGTCGACGGGTTATCGTCATATTACCGGATTGTATTGATGAGCATCGCTGTAAACCGTGAACTCACGGTGTCACCTGCTGGCTCCGAGTGGTGTCAGCACGCGTCGGACACATGTACATCGTCACGTACACACGGAACCAGATTTAGAAACTACAACAATCATCCGATTCTTTACATAATGCTTTAAAATTGAAATAACCGGAGTATTTCTGAGTTTCATTGTTAACAATTTGTGTCATAGCATCGCCTACACCACACTGATTTCCTTATTGCCTATTACACTAGAAATAAAATATTACTAGTATCTCATTCGCCCCAGGTATTGGTAACCACGGACGAGATAATATCACCCGAAGATAAAATTATCCCCGAGTTTTCCCAATATTTTGGTAAAATTATGCTGTCTTGATTATTTTTGCTTGTTCCTGGTGGAATAAATTATTCATAGACATTAAATTCGTCTTGACGGAAAGCACTCTTCATATGTATACTGTATAAACACAAAGCAATAGTCTATATAGACTTGCATACAGCCCCTTGTTTATTTGTTGTTGTAAAATAAAATATTGTGGGAGTGTAAATGGCGAAAGCCAAGTTACCACGAAAGTCGGGTTACCGCACACAAAACAAGAGACTGTGTGCGAGTCTATAGTCAGTACTAAAACTGAAAACGGACCGGGCATCATTGCGACGATAACAATAACGAATGTGATTGTTTACTTTTTTAACTTTTAAAAAAAAATTATGGGCTCGCCGTACTTGGTATAGAGCGAAAGTATGTGTTACTATAGCAATAATAAACAAGTATGTCTTTATATCTCAAACGTTGGTGGCTATATGATAGTCACGGTGTCTTACAATGGCCTGTTCCATGTCTTGAAATCTTACAAAATTTACATTATTTATTATATTGGAAATGGGTTTTTAATATGGCCTATGGAAACGGCTGCTTTGTAATTTTTTGCATATTATTAGTTTTATGAGTAAAAAAAGCAGATTGACAAGTATTTTGAAAATTCTCTGTATTCGATGTGATACCAATTTTGGAACGAAATAGTCACGTTATGATACGCGCTAAAATATGCGCACACTGAATCAAAAACGCAATCGTAGACATGCATTATACCTTAAAAGATAAAAGATGTAAATAATTCGCACGTGACCATGAACTATTGAAACAATCTCCCCTGTTCATCCACATTATTAAAACATCTGAACGATGCAACTGCTTGAATATCGCGACGAGCTCGCCCCTCGTGGTCACGTACATGTCAATGAACCTCACTTTCCGCACACCACGGGGCTGACACCACATAGTTGTAATCGCTAGACGTGGACGTGACACTTCACCTGATAAGGGTGTTTATTTATCTGAATGAACGGACATGATATTGTTATTTATTATTATTAATTTATATATACTTTTAAAATATATATTTTATAGACCAAGATGTTTTTAGAAAATGCTCGGATGTAAATTCTGTGACGTCACGTGCAACCCAAGAATTAGAGGAAGCCACGATTTTGCATAGTGCATCCATCACCGTGGCATATTCATCCTATGTGACGTCACGACAGGATTTCCGATGCGGTGGGGTCACGGCAGGGTCACCGCACAGCCAAGGAACCCGAATATTGTTATGCAATTGTCATTATTTGAGGGTGTTGTGAACTCCTCTTCTTGACTTCACAGTATACCCTCATATACCGGTGATCGCACCGGCTCTGCAACAATGGCACGCTGAACCAGGTATTGTCACTGATAGCATCATCGTTATCATACCCTTGCATCACACGTTCGTGGCAGAACGTTTCATATGGTGTCTGTAAAACTGACCAGGTCACTTCTATTTCATTTATACGCGGGTATGCAAGGCGCCAGCTTTTGGTGACGATCACGGCCCGGGAGGCCAAATTCCTTAAAAACCCATTCTGAACTAAATTTTCAAGATAACCCCTTCCCGTTCTTGAAACAGGTGTTTAAAAGAACACCATTTATTGACATAGCTTTGATTCCTGAAAATTTCAACAAGAAAAAAACCGTTGACCCTTGAAAATGTCAAAAAGGGCCTCTTTACCATTTAAAAACTTACAGACCCCTTTGGGTGCCTTGTATATATGCAACCTTTTGGGGGTATAGTTTTACATGCAAAGGGGTTAAATCTATATGGGGGCCAAACAAAAATGTTTTTTTTTTTTTTTTTCTAAAATGAGTTTATCATTTCGTCAACTTATTCATTTTCTCTAAATTCCCACTGTTTTACATCGTTTTGTTCCGCTCTTACCTTCTTGCATTACAGCAACGAATGTCGGGACCGGATGTGACGTATATTTTATAACTACTAGTATGTCTCACAAAAGTTGAGATCAACTCCATTGTCTCTCTCTCTCTGATATTGAATCAACTCAAATAGCAAGGTTTATTAAATATGATATTCCTAAGATGGACTATGGTTTAGCATGGGATAAAAATTGGTCGGGGCAACACATCCTTAACATAGCTGGAGGCAACACCCCAACCCTACAGATTTATATGTTTGAGAAATTGATTTCGTCGAGAAGGTCGCCATTGACATCATGTTTCCGTTGTTTAGTTGTTCATCAAGACATTCTGGCGGTCGAGAATACGGTTTCTATCAAACCGGGGAAA